GACCGTTCCCCGCGGTGGACGCGCACTTGCGCACCGCCGAGCGTCACCTCGCTGCCGCTGCGCACCTGCCATGCCGGCGGCCGCGGTATTCCGGGCTCCGGCCTTCCAATTCCAGAGCAGCTCCGCGTGGAGCAGCTGCCAGCCGGGATGGGCAGATGGCGCGAGCCGGGTGGTGGAGCCCTGAAGTGCTGGAGTCTGGAGATCCCGATGGCCGTGCGCCCGTGCCCAATTTGCCACTGCCGGTGTCCGGTGTCCGGTGGGCTCGAGAGTGAAGAGAATATCCGCGGTGATTCGGCGAACGATTCGGCCCAGGGGTATCTTCTGCTGCGCAGTTTCGGGTCAGATGCCAATATGCGATGCAGGTTTCGTCCAAGTTAAACGCTGCCTTTTTTAGCTCGCAACTGATCTCGCTTAATTTCACTGCTGAATATAAGAGAGATGACTGGCTATACACGGCATGGCGCGGGGACGTTCCGAGCACACGCTAAGCCAAATCCTCACGTAAATGAACAATGGCAGGGTCGTGAATTAAAATTCATGTTAACTAGAAGGATGTCCATGCGTTGCCGCATAAGTTACGGATGATTCAGAATAAAACTAGACTACTTCTATTTACTTGCATGAGAGATAAATTTTTTTTTGAATCATATTATAAATAGATTTAAGTGGACGGTATGGTATGCTGCCGTAGACAAAAAAAAACATGTTAGTGGACGTAGATACCTTACTAACGACTAACGTGGACAGCCTGCTATTAGAATACTATAGATATATAGGTATAAATATAGATGTATTTCACACGATGCCTTGTTCTCTAAGTACTTTGATAGTTTCTTTTTTTATAGCAGATAATGCGATTTTAAAAAATATCTTGAAGTTATCAATTGCTATAAAGCCAATATATCTTGCTAAAAGATATATGGAATTTTTTTAAAGTAGACTGGATATATTGATATTCATACTCTACAGTATCTTGACTATTTGATTAATGTAAATACGCCTAAAATTTTAAAGTAGGGGGTGCACACCTATGTAGCTAAACGAGAACAATATATAATTTTTCTTTTTTGTCCAAAAGTCATTGAGAGAATTTACACACCTTAAAATTCTAAAATATAAGTGCACACTGCAATCTCATAAACAAACTAATCCCTAACTGAATTTATCATACACTGCTCCTTTCGCACTAGTGCAAATTTCAATTAAGCGGTTTAACTAGAATCACAAAGGTTTTAATTTTATATATATGTCTATAAATTAGAAGACACGCACACATCTTTTGCGCGTTCTTGAAAAATCCCGCGGCTGATGGCTGATAGAGAACCAGATAGTTTCGCTTCTGGATCACGAGGAAAAGCCGTGAAGAAATCAAAACAAGAAAGAAAAGGTGCACACACAAACAAAATGGGAAAACGAGGATAGTGAAACAAAAAAATAGCCGCGTGCCCTAGCTTCCATTCCAGGCCTCCCTGTTCTCGTCCCTTCCAGCCAGCGCCCAGCGCCGCTTCTTCCTTCGAACCCCCACTACCGAATTTTTTATTTTTTGGCCCCTTTTTTTGAAAGTTTTTCATATATATGTCTCTAGAGGTTTGCTTTCAAAATCTGAACCATTAGCTCGGCGTCATCGATGGTGGCGCCGAGCTTACACGACTCGGCGCCAAAGGGTTTGGCGCCTAGGTTGGGGGGCCACGTCGGCATCAAAGTAGAGCCGGGGGTGACATGGCAGCCAGCTCGGCGCCGTGAATCTTGGCGTCAAGCTTGGCGCCGTTGATCTTGGCGTCGAGTTTGGCGCCATAGATCCTGACGCTGAACCGGCCTTACAGGTGGGTCATTTTTCTTTCTCTCTTCCTTCCTTTCATTTTTCTCTCTTCCTTTCTTCTTTCTCTTAATGCCTCCCGCCCGCGCGCGCCTCCCACGGCAGGGCCAGCCTTCCCTTGTCGCCCACCGCTCCCAGCCCATTGACCGCCCGACGTCTGCGTTTCATGCTTCCGTCAGCGGCCCGGCCAGCGTCCACGCCCCGCGCCACCATCCCCGCCGGCCGCCCCACCGCCCGGCCACCGACTCCGCTTCGACGTCCGCGCCCAGCGCTGGACTGTCGTGGCCCGCCCGGCGTCCGCTCCCAGCACCGTCTCCCTGCCGGCCTTCACAACCGCCGACCCCCCGTCGTCCCCCCGCCCGCTTCGCTTCGGCGAGGCGGCCTCCCGTGGCGGCCGGCCATCCATCGGCCATCGCGCTTGCCCGTCCATGGTCTTCAAGCGGCCATCTCCTCCCTCCCGTCCTCAACGTCCGGCCGAACGCGTAGGAGGGAGCGAGGATATCTTGCTCTCGAAGATCTACGGATCAAATCAAAGTTTCCAAGGTTCAATATGCCAATTCGTGAGGTAGGGTAAAGTGGGGAGAGAAAAAACCCGAGAGAAGGAGAAAGAAGAGAAAGAAGGCTCGGGCAGAAAGGTTGGGCGTCGGGTTAAAACATCACCTCGCCGCCATAGATCTTGGCGCTGAGAAGAACGCCAAGCTCGGCGCAAATAACCCCGACGTCGTGCTGCTGAAAGGTCCTAATGGCTAGAGGGGGCTGAATAGCCTAATAAAAATTTCTACAACAACACTTAGCAAACCGGTTAGACAATTATGAAACGAAGCAAGTGTTGTGCTAGCCTATCAAAAATGCAAGCCACCTACCACAATTCTAGTTGATATAGTTTCTATCCACACAATAGCTATGTTACTACACTAAGTTAGTGTGCTCTCAAAGGTTAACTAAAGAGCCATACTAACCAAACTAATAAGCTCTCACAACTAGCTACACTAAATAGCTTGACAACTAGTTTGCGGTAATATAAAGAGAGTGAGCAAGATAGTTGTACCGCCGTATCGAGGAGTGAACCAATCAATCACAAGAATCAATAGCAATGAAGACCAGTCACCTCAGAATCAAATGACGAACACAATGATTTTTATCGAGGTTCACTTGCTTGCCGACAAGCTACTCCTCGTTGTGGTGATTCACTCACTTAGAGGTTCACGTGCTAATTGGCATCACACGCTAAACCCATGATAGGGTACCGCACAACCAACACAAGATGAGGATAACACAAGCCACGAGCAATCCACTAGAGTACCTTTTGGCTCTTCGCCGGGGAAAGATCAAGAACCCCTTATAATCTCCACGATCGGAGCTAGAGACAATCACCAACTTCCGTTCAACGATCCTCGCTGCTCCAAGCCGTCTAGATGGCGGCAACCATCAAGAGTAACAAGCGAATCCCGCAGCGAAACACGAACACCAAATGCCTCTAGATGCAAACACTCAAGCAATGCACTTGGATTCACTCTCAATCTCACAAAGATGTTGAATCAATGATGGAGATGAGTAGAAGGGCTTTGGCTAAGCTCACAAGGTTGCTTTGTCAATGTAAATGGCCAAGAAAGTGAGCTTGAGCCGACCATGAGGCTTAAATAGAAGCCCCCATGAAATAGAGCCGTTGTACTCCTTCACTGGGCACAACGCAGGATGACTAGACGCTCCGGTCATGCGATGCGTGTCACGTGTCCCCTCTCTTCAAATGTTGATCGCCCGATCTCAACGGTCAAGTGATGACCGGACGCAACAGCTCAAAGTGACTGGACGCTGAACCCCAGTGTCCGATCGTTTCCAGTAAGCATCCAGAGACGACTTTTCATGCGTCCGGTCATGCTCGACCGGACACACCCAGCGTCCGGTCACACAGCGACTCCCTTATGCGTTGCCATGTCAGCAGGACCGGAAGCACCCCTCCAGCGTCCGGTCACTAAGTGACCCAGTGTCCTGTCAGAGACCGACGCCAGCATCTTTGTAGCTTCTACTGATCGGACGCGTCGGTCCAATCGAGGCCAGCGTTCGATCACTGCGTGACCAGCGTGACTAACTCCTTTTCAACTCTATCTTCTTCACCCTTGTTTAAATGTGTCAACCACCAAGTATATCACCTTGTGCACATGTGTTAGCATGTTTTCACAAACATTTTCAAGGGTGTTAGCACTTCACTAGATCCTAAATGCATATGTAATGAGTTAGACCATCTAGTGACACTTTGATAACCGTATTTCGATACGAGTTTCACCCCTCTTAATAGTACGGATATCAAACCTAAATATGATCACACTCTCTAAGTGTCTCGATTACTAAAATAAAATAGCTCCTACCATTTATACATTTGCCTTGAGCCTTTTGTTTTTCTCTTTCTTCTTTTCAAGTCCAAGCGCTTGATCATCATCATGGCATCACCATCATCATGATCTTCACAATTGCTTCATCACTTGGAGTAGTGCCACATATCTCATAATCACTTTGATAAATTAGGTTAGCATTTAAGGTTTTATCGATTCACTAAAACCAAACTAGAGCTTTCAGCTACCTGACAGGTCAGTGTCCACGCCGTCAACGTGGCCCCAACCTATGCGCCAAACCCTTTAGCGCCGAGACTTGTAAGCTTGGCACCACCAATGATGACGCCGAACTAAGAATCCAGATTTTGAAAGCATACCTCCAGGGGTATATTTATGAAAAACTTAAAAAAAGGGCAAAAAAAAAAATGTGGGCCCCGACTACCGCTCGTTTATACGCCAGCGACGCCGCCCCCCATCTCGTCTCCTCTCCTCCTCGAGCAAAGGCGAGCGCGAGAGAAACCTGAAGCCACTTCCCAACCCGCTCCCCCCCTCGCCGCGATTTCCTCACATGGCAGCGCTGCGCCTCCGCGAGTCACTCGAGAGGAACGGCCCCTGCTTCTGCTTCTCCGACCCCTGTCCCTGCGCCGACCCGCGCCGCCCCAGTCTCGATCTTGCCGCCCCCGCCGCCGGTCCCTTCTCCTCCCTCCGCGTCCATCGCACCTGCTCCTGATCCCGATCTCTTCCTCCCTTCTCGCGCCGTTATTTGTGATTGCGGCTCTGATTCTGCTCCCACGCTTCGTCTCGCGGTTCTTGGGAGCTTCTGAGTTCTGGTTCTGTCCCTAACCGGTGTTGCCATGGGGAAGAGTGAGTTCCTCTTGACGCCGATTGATTGGTGGTGTCTTCTTGATTTTGATCGATGGGTGGTGTAGTGGTTGGTTCTGAATTTCTGATTAGTGATTTGGGGGCGTGGGTTTGTGCAGGCAAGAAGAGCAAGGCCCGCGGCGGCGTGGACGACCTGCTCGACAGCAGCGATGCCGACAGCGTCGGCTCCTCGTCCACCGCGCTGTCGGATCTCTCCATCTCGTACGCCACCGAGCACGTCAACTCGCAGGAGTTCGTCCTCGACAAGTACATCGACGCGCTCTACGAGAAGAGGTCAGGAGGTCACCCTTTACGCTTCTAGGATTCTCTAGCATATCGTTTTGGCTGTTTGCTGTTCAGGCGCTGAGGGTGAAGTAGGCATTTCTGTTCGGGTGCTGTTTACTTCGATTTCGTTGGCTGTACTTAACTTGTGTGTAGGCATAGATTAGCAGGCTGACCCAATTGTAGTTGGCCGGGCAATACGGTTTTCTTGTTTGTTTGCATGATGATCCCTACTTAATGCACGGACTCGTATCGGACTATAGTTTGCTGTACTTAAATTGCAGTTGTCTATTGTTTTGTTTTTACTTTGCATGGTCCGGACCTATGATAATCTGATGACCAGTAAACGAAGCATGCACTGTGCTATAACTTGTTATTTTAGGGTTATTCAGTAGTGGATACTGTTCTCACTGTAGTTGAAGGTCGTCTTGGCCCCATTTCATGGTGGATTGGTGGCGCTGGCTGGAAAATAATAGGAAGCAGCTTATGACATTGGAGTATGCTTCATGTTTTTTGGTTAAACTGGCCTCTCAGAATTCCTTTAGCTTTCATTTTACTTTCGTGGAACCTATAGAATATTAGCAAAATGGACACTGAATAAGTTCTGGAGTGAATCCTATTGTTTTGGCGTTAGATACTCAAATGGACACTAAATTTGAATAGTCAAAGATTGGAAAATTACTTTCCAATTGGCTAAGTTGTATGTTCAGCTGACCTTTTATTATTTGTGCAATAATGTTGATAGAGTAACAGGGACGAGGAGGCATGTATTTTGTGTATTTGCCTCCTGATGTCATTTCTGGCGATGTACCTGGCTGCTGAATTGTCATGTTTCTCTTAATAACAGTAATAGATCATGTTACTAATGCTGTCGGTGTTTTCATATCCTACTAACAATAGTTTACCCCTCAAAAAAAATACTAACAATAGTTTATCATCGTTTATTAATGGTGTTTGTGTGTTCATCACCAATTAACACTAATCTATCATGCCATCATGGTCATTAATGCTCATTGTGTTTTCATAAACTAACAACTATGCATTGCACTGATGTTACTGTATGCATTCTCTTTTAGGGGGTCTACAAGAGAGGCAGCATTGGTTAAACTGGTTGATGCCTTCGAAAGTTTTATGCTCCATGGCCTTGTGGAGAATAGGTGTGTTATATTCTGTTAGTGATCCATGAGCCTTAAATTATGAAATGTTGCATGGATTTTTTTTGCTTATTTTCCTGTAAGTCATGTTTTGAATTACCATGAACTCAACAACCTTCCCATGTGCCACATGGTTACATTATTACTATCACGCTAGCTCTCTTTCAGGTATGGTATGTTTTATCTGAATCCACTTGGTGAAATGTATAATCATTGTGTGTGTTTATGCTTTTGAAGGTATGCCACACTGCTGAGTCAATTCAATAATTCCGTCAAAAAGGGATCTACTAAGGAGGTTTTTCTGGCATCTCATGCTATTGGTATGTATATACTGTCCCTGTTCACATTAAGTAGTTCAAAGCAAATACTGTTGTATTATGACACTGTATTTGGCCGTTTTCTTTTGGGTCATCAGGGTTATTGGCTATTACACTCGGTGCTGGGAGCAGTTCACATGAAATAATGGAGGAGTCACATCCCCAACTTTGTAGGGTACTTCAAGCTTGGTCTGATGCATCAAAGATGATATCTGTATGTATTTTTTGTTGTTGTCATTTGACTTCCAATCCTTATCTGCACTCCCAGTGAAGGGAATCTAAACTGACCTTCTGTAGGCACTTGATTGTTTGGCTGTCATCACATTTGTTGGCGCAACTGATCTGGCTGAAACAGAGTTATCTTTGAAAGCCATGTGGGATGTCATTCATCCAAAGTCTGGTTCAAATGTAATGTTTTCCACTTACTTGTTATTGTATTTTGCAAGCTAATGTTGAAAGGAGCTGCATCCAGTTCTCTATGATGACTGAACATGGTTGTAATCTCTACAGGTGGGAACTGTTCGGAAACCTAAGCCTCCTGTGTTAGCATCTGCTCTATCTGCATGGACGTTTCTCCTGACTACTATTGGTGCATGGAGGATAAATACTGATAGCTGGAAAGAGTTAGTGTTCTCTGTTTTTCTCCTGTTGTATGTTTGTGCATGCTAACCTATCGATGGATTTATACCTAACTTACCTTTCTTCTACTTTCTAGGCCCATTGCATTTCTCTCTACTCTTTTGGAAGCAGATGATCGTGCTGTTCGAATGGCTGCTGGTGAAGCATTGGCTTTGTGCTTTGAGTTAAATCTGCTTGATGTTTCTTCTTGTGAGGATGGCGATGTTAACACGGGAGGAACTGGTGGTTCTAAGAACAAGCTTTTCTTGGATATGCAAGCATTAAAAGCCAAAATCTCAGGTCTGGCCTCTAATCTCTCTGCTGAGGCTGGAGGGAAAGGTGCAGACAAGAAAAACCTTACTGACCAAAGAGACTTGTTTCAAAGGATCTTAGATTTCATTAAGGTTTGTTTGTATCTGCTCTAGTTAAGTTTCAAATTCTTGTTTCTGCTTCACTTAATTGGTGATCATCCTTTTGCAGTATGGTGACTGCCCTGAAGAATCAATCAAGATTGCTGGAAAACGTTATGTTTTAAGGGTGTCGTCATGGTCTGAATTAATCCAGGTGCTTGTTTTTTTTCTCCTTGGCTTGCAAAATGTAAATATTCTTTCATGTTCTCATTAGCTATTTGTTTTCCTTGTTAATCAGTTGAATTTCTTAAAGCGGTTTCTGGGGAAAGGCTTTCTGAAGCATGTTCAGGTTAGTGTCTTCTGAATGTTTATTTATAAACTATGTATTTAGTAGATGGTATGACAAATTTTGAGTTCCTCTGTATACAGGAGAATGGTCTTCTTCAGGATATCTTTGACATTAAGGTTGACAAAGCTGAAACCCTGTCGTCCACTGATAAGGTAATAAATCGGTGACATAGATGTTGCAAGTTGCAATGGTAGTTATAAGTTTGTTAAAGTTGAACATTTTTGTTTATTAGTCCATACCAGTCTGGGTATAAGCTAACCACGGTAGTCTTTTACTGCAGACTGGTCATACAATGCCAAAAGTTCATTCCTTCAGTAAAAGCTGATTATATAACCAGGATAGAAATCTAGAAAAGTAGGGCACAATTGGATATAAAGGCTAGCAAGATGGAATCTAATGGCTTCTTTGGGTTTATAGGCTTTCATTTTCCTATTTTAGGTACCTTACTGACCATAAGGCGTAATGTTGTGTCCTTGTCTCCTTGATTGCTTTGTGTAAGTTGGTTGGCAATTTAAACAATGGTACAGGAAAAATGCTATATTGGCAATTTCATGTGTCATTTCAGTCACAAAAAGCTAGCTAGTAAAACTCATTTTCCTTTAAATAAAGTTTTGATCTGTCTGTTTGCATGAACTGTTCAGATTTGAATCCTTGAAACCTCAAGCATCTTCTCTTATGTTCAACTTTCTCATGTTGATCTGCCTGTTCTCTTGGTTCGCTTTTAGTATTATATATGGATTTCTGATCACAAACAACCCAAACCTCTTGCAGAAAATCTTTAGGTCTGAAGAGGAAAAAGAAAGAGCTCTGAAATTAAACAAGGAACGTCGTCTAGCCCAGGTAATGCTAATGTGAAATGTCCTCTTCATGTGAAGAAATCTCCTTGTCACCCTATTTTTCTTCAGCATCAAACTATATAATAGTTAAAATAATTTTATGGATACCTCATACCTGGACACCTGGTTCCCTGACAGCATAAGGAATCCTAACTGGAGATCTAACAGTAATCCTTGTAAATATTTTCCCTCATGTTACTGTGGGTAGCTGGGGTGGTGCTTGGTTACATGTTGGTCTCGCCATGTATGCAATCCTTATTACCATGCTCTTGCTAATGCAGTAATGCCAGCGAAACAAAAACAAGCAATGAAAACGGTGCATAACGTATGCAACTACTGTAGTCTGAATAATACTAATACACATTTGATATTTTGATCGTTTCAGGTAAGGAAGAATGCTGTCATGTTGGACGAGTAACAAGGTCACAAGGGTGGGAAGACAACAGCCATTCCGCATCTCTTTTTATCTGGGCCTTTGTCTGTGTAAACTACTCCGTATTATTACTGTCACATTTTTTTGGAGGTTGTGCCTTCATGATACTGGAGTTTATATTGTTATAGTGCACCTAAACAATTTGCTATTCGTGCATATGGAACGTCAGATGGCACGATTTATGTTGGAACTTTGAAGTTCAGTATGATTTGTGCGGGAATAGTCAACAATTACTTTGAAGTTTAGTCGGTTCACGTTGAGTTTTGTTCGAGGGCCCACCTCATTCTAAGACGTTTTGTTGTTGCGCTACAGTTGCATCAGCTGTACCCAGCCCGTGGTTGCACGGCCTAGGGCCATCCCTCCCTTGTTTTAAGGCACGAACCTATCTGATTCTGTAGTTAACTATTGTAAATAAATAATTAAATATATATACATGGTGATTGGTGAATGGGTGCGAGTTTGGTTGGGTTGGGTGTGCTATGTCTTGACCAGATCGGTTCCTGTGAAGAAGGGTTGGTTCGCAAAGAGCTGTCTGTTCACAACACTAGCAAGAAGCTCAGCCTAGTAAAGAGCGTGGTCTGATAGAGAACAAAAACTCGTGCATGAAAAAGTTCACATCAGGTAAGAAGGACGAGTATTTTGCAAAAGAAATCCTAATAGAGATCTGATTTGATCTTGGGTGTGCTCATTCTCACCCATGGTGAATATGCTCACTACGAGGCAATGGATTACACCAATGATATTTAATGGAAACACAAAATCACGTAAAGATCAAATGGCTCCTCTATGAACCTATATACGTATCGGTTGTTGCTGTCTGCAGTCCAAAATTCACGCTGGCCAATTACCTTGGGTATTTCAATCAAGGAACTATGAAAGGGAGCACAGTTTTGAAACTACCTCGTCGGGCAGTTCCAGTTGTTGGCCATCTCTGTTTGGAAATTAATTTGCCCGTGACATCTGATCTGTAAGAAAAGAAGAAATTGCCAAGGAGACGGCATTCATACTCGAAGATGAGTCCAATGCCCCGGGGGTTTCCAACTAATCCAACGTTTGGAAACTACTGAGAAACCTCATTCATAGTGAGAGCTGATGTGATTTGGTCCCTGTCCCTCCTGCATTTGCTGTCATCTATCTGTGCTGACGATGTAGTTCCATGGTTCATCATTGTGGCACTCAGTAGATCATTCCATGACATTGTGGATCTGGGATCACCAGGCATACAATAATCAGTTCTTATTGTTAACTAAGGAGCAAAACGTTAACCTAGATTTGCAGACTCATCTAAACTGGTTGTAGAATATGTATAAATAACGTGCTGATGCTTACTTGGAAGGATTTTTGACAAATGAACAATGGCATAGCATCGACCCCAGCATCAAGGGTAGCATGTAGCATGCCAATCTTAAGCCATTGGCAAAACATGACTAAATGATTGACAATAAGACCTGAGTTGACTGAGCCACCGTGCAAACCCGTGTCTCTCAGATCGAAGTTGGTTCACTCCCTGAATTCCAATTCAAGCCTCCTTGTTTAGTTGGAACCCAAGCTGGCTCAAAAATAAAGTTCACGCAGGGGCCTGGAGGACACATGCTAGAAGATGCAATGCTATGACAAAAGTATTCACCAATAGTTACCACATGAACATTCTCCATCCTTGAAATGGTGAAACCGTCTAACGTCCCTAACAACAATCTCCCTTCCGACTGCTTTTGACATGAACATTATTGCAGCATGACAATCATCACATATTCTCAAGTTCTTTAGAACTGTAACCGTAGCTCCAGGAGGCAACTTTAGGAGTCCAAAACCAACCGCCAGTCTCTCACTATGCGCAAATAATATATGTTCCTTCTGATGAGGCTCCATGTCATGCAATACAAACTTTGTATCAGGAACATATCCGAGCTTTCTCATCTTGGCGCCAACTATTTCAAGGAACTTGTAAACTTCATGTGCTTCTGGATGTTTTGTATCACCAACGACAAACACGTGAACTTTGTTTCCAGCTTCTATCCAGCTGCACCCAGGTTCCTTCTTAACCCCTCGATCACGCATTAGCTTCCTTACTCTGGCAGCATCTACCCAACGTCCTGCAGCTGAGTAAGTGTTAGACAAAAGGATATATGTACCATCATGCTGCGGTATCATTTTAAAGAGCTGGTCTGCAGCATGAGCACCAAGTTCCATATCTCCACTAGTCCGGCAACCGGAAAGAATTGCCTCCCAAATGGATGGGGTAGGCTCAAAAGGCATTGTCTTAATCAAGTCTCTAGCTTCTCCAATCCGTCCAGCCCGACCGAGCAAATCAATCAGCCGCGTATAGTGATCTTCTCCAGGTATAATGCCAAAGTCCCTCTTCATGGACTCGAAATATCGAAAGCCTTCATCCACTAGGCCAGAGTGATTGCAAGCTGTCAATACTGTGAGGAAAGAGATCCTATCAGGATATATGCCTTCAGCAACCATGCGATCAAAGTGCTCTAGTGCCTCTCTTCCATGTCCATGCTGCCCAAGGGCTGAAATCATAGCATTCCACGAAACAGAGTCAATATTGGGCATCACAAGGAACATAAGATGAGCTTCTTTCACAGCACCACATCTAGCATACATGGTAATGAGTGCATTTCCTGCAGAATTGCTCCCCTCAAAACCAAGCTGCACAAGATGCCCATGGAGCTGCTTTCCATGCTTCAGTGCCCCAAGCTCACCACATGCAGATATAGCGCCAGCATAGGTGTAGTCACACGGCTTGATATCCTCAGCCCTCATCCTGTTAAACAGCTTAAGTGCATCTTCAGCAAATCCTCCATGCACATATCCTGACACCATCACCATCCATGACAACTCATTTTTATATGGCATCTTCTCAAATACCTCGACTGCCTTGTCCAAACAGCTGCTCTCAACATACCCTGACAAAATGGTGTTCCAAGAGACGACATCCTTCGATTTCATATTGTCAAATATCCTTCTCGCAACAGCAATATTCCCACACTTTGAGTAGAAGGTCACCAAGGCATTGTTAACAGGCAGAGCTGCCTCGGGTACAAAATTTGGCTGCAGCCGAATGATCTGACCATGGACGGACTTCCCATGCGCAAAGAAACCAGCATTTGCACAAGCACTCAGAACACTAGTAAATGTGAACTCATCAAGAGGCACCCTTTCCAACACCATCCTTCTAAACAGCTCAAACGCCTCCACAGCCATTCCTGAATGAACATACCCTGAGATCATGGCATTCCACACGACATCAAACTTGTCATCAACCTCCTCGAAAACTGATCTAGCAGCACCAACGTCGCCTCTCCTAACATACCCAACGACCATAGTAGTCCACGTAAGCTCATCCTTATCCGGCATTTCGTCGAGCACCTTCCTCGCGTCTCGTGTCGCCTCGGGCGATTCGCATTTCATGTACAGCGCAATGAGCGCGTTGGACACCGACAAGGCACCCCCGGCGCCGGACTTGGGCACCGAGCAATGCAGCTGCGCACAGTGCCGGACAGAGATGTTAGGCAGGTGGCCCGCGGCGCTCAGTAGCGCGGTGAACGAATAGTCGTCGGGGCGAAGGGAGCCGGAGGCAAGCAGGGAGCGGAACACGGCGACCGCGGGCGCGGCGTGTGACGCGCGGGCGTACGCGGAGATCACGGCGTTGTGGAGGACGGTGTCGCGGCGCCCCGGCGGGACGGCGTCGAAGAAGGAGACGGCGGCGGGGAGGCGGCCAGCGGCGGCGTACGCGGCGACGAGGGAAGTGGCGGCGACGGGGCACGGGTCGGCGCGGAAGAGTGTCGCGGCGGCGGGGAGGTCGCCGGAGAGGGTGTAGAGGTGGATGAGGCGGAGGGTGAGGTGCGGGTGCGTCGGCGCGTGGAGGAGCGCGGAGGTGAGAAGGCGCGCGTGGAGGCAGCGGAGCGCGCGGAGGAAGGATGAGCAGGAGGAGGAGGCTAGAGAGCGGCTCGCGGCGAGCCGCCGCAGGAGGACGGAGCACTGGTGGGGCAGGGAGGTGACACCGAGCGGCGGCGGCGGCGGCGGCGGCGGCATCGCGTCGTGGCGTGGTTGGACCGGGCGCGCGCCCGCGTGGCGCCGCCCAGGGCCCACTCTACTAACAAAAATGCCCTTCATCGGGACTATAATTTACTATACTATCTGCGATGAAAGCGCCACTACTCTAACTTTTTCGGGCCCTTCCTCGGGACAAAAAAAATATGATGATTTTTCTAAGATATATTAATCATATTAAATCATATTTTTTTTGCGGAATTAAATGAAAATAATTTTTATATGAAAATTATAGATCTCACGAGATCTCTACAACTTTCTAGTTTTAAGTTTTTTCATTTGAAGTCATTAAGATGCTCAAAAAAAAATTAATAACATATTTGAACTTAAGGGCATTTTTGTCTTTTTCACACCGCCGCTTGAAAACATTAAAGCGCAGAATCGAAAGTCTGTGGATGACCCGAAAAAGTTGGAGTAGTGAGAAAGAAAAATTTTTCGAGGGGACACATTCGATTAAATAATGGCATTTGCGAAAAAAGTCTCTAGAGCTAAGGTATGAGCTTAGCGGCCATGGCTTAAACCGACGGCATGCATGACAGCCACGGCAGCACGTGCGTGTGGTGTCAGCGGCTTGGCGGCCACCATGCAGGCCTGGGCGGCACTGCACTATGACAAGGTGGACAACATAGTGCCCTTGCGTACATGGGTCCTACGTTGGCACGGACGTGGCCCGGCGACCCGGTTGAGCTAACGTGCAACCTTTGCCTCCCGGTGAAAAATACTGTTGGCTGATTTAATGTGAAAGAAAAATATTATTCGTTTGCTAAAAATATGGTTTATAAGCCAAATAAACAGGGCGCTTGACTATGTCCTTAGCGATCGAGAAGTGTGGTGCATATAGAGAAAACATGATTGTGCTATCGATTCTAGCGACGACGTAGTGGCTGGTTGGGCTTAGCTTGAGAAGAAGTAGTTAGATCTCGTGAGAGTTTGTTGATTGCTCTACTATCGGTCTGTCTAACACCGTTCTTAGACTCATAATTTGGTTATAGTTGATGTATTCTCTGTCGTGTCTCGTCATTGATGTGCTTTTATTTTCTCGAGAGCTCAACAAAAAGTATTTGAAATGGATGAAATCTTAAAAAATATAATAAATCACGAAAAGAAAACTCACAGAAGATGGAGACTTGGGAAATGTTAAAGAAATGTGGAAAGAAAACATGCGGACCAAACTGGAAAAAAGAAAAAGGAAAAATTGGACAGAATAGAAAATTATTGAAAGAAACCAAACTGCCTAAACACAAAACGGAGTCATGAACGAACGAGAATAAAAAATAGAATTAAACAATAGAAACCAAAGTCACGGTCAGAAAAAAGCAAACAGAAAAAATTAAAAATAGAAACCAAGTAAGATGAGATATGTATATAAATTTGTACTCTTACTTTTACTATTTGATTAGAACTCCTATTCATGTTATATGGGATCAGAGAATTTATTTTATTAGAATTAGGATTTCTAGCTAACAATGTCGATGGGAATATCGCCTACCACTGAAAACACAATGTCGATGGAAATATTGCCTACCACGGAACGCACGCACGAAAACTCTATTCGTTGTTGATGAGAACATCGCTTACCACTGAAAGCACAATGTCGTTAAAAACTGTAATAAATTCAGAAAAATACAAACAGCCGTGTCAAGTCGATATTTAAAATAGGGGAGGAGGCAGGTTAAAAAAAATAACCTAACCAAATGAGATAGGATCAGTTCACAATTATTGAATTATATATATGAGTTATACTGAATTGTATATGGAAAAATGGTTACATCATGCTCAAAGTAAATTTCTTAGGCGTGACACTTGCCGGAACGACTATAAACGTTAGATTATTAGAGAAGACCATCTTAATTATGGTTGTGAAGCGTACAACGCATATGCTTCTGAATTTTCATGGTCTGAGACAGAGACTGAGTAAGACATGAAACACGCTGTCGGCGACGCGTGCGGCCTTGCAGTTGCAGACACAGCCATCGGCCAACATGCTACAGCCTGTTCGGCAGCCGTAAACGATGATGGATTATTTATTGCTGAGCGGTTTGATGTGAGAGAAAAATATTGTTTCAACTTATAATCCACGATCGTATACGAACATGCGAACAGGCTGCTGGTGCACACTCGCCTGCTGCAGCCGTTTACTACGGCTCGAGCGTATGGACGTACATGGTATGGGCCGTATGGGTGGTCCATAGTCCATACGTACGTGACAAAAATGCCGCCTTCAGTTGTCTGAACGACCACTGCTGGTCCATCCGGAACTGAACAAGAGCCACCGGCACACAGCAACAGGTCAGTGCCCTGGCCTGCACAAACTTTTACTCGGGGAACTCCTGCACCGGCCACCGGGCTTCGCTGCGCCGAGCGCGACTCGCGGGACCAAACGGAACCGGTCGCCATCCACCCGTGCTCGGTGCTACTGGTACATGCCAGGCCAGCCGCACACGCAGCTCCGGACCGGCGACGCCAACGGCGATGCACCTGTCGGTAGCTCTGTTTCTGCGTCGCGACGCCGATACGAACATTAACAACAGGGAAGGCACGAACGTCACCGCCGCGTCGGAGCAGCAAGGACCCCCATAGGCTCCATGACGATGTAGTACCATGCAAGGTTGTCAAACGTAAGATCGAATTGTTAACTAGGATCACATAACTAGATCGCTTGGTTAAGATCACAAAGACCCAGCAGTACTACTACTAGCACTTGTTCTAGGAGCTAATGGCCATATTCGTTTCGTTAAAATTTGTCTTATGTTGATGCTTATGCTGATTTATTGTGTGAGAAAAACGCTGTTCTTTTACTGAAAAAATATTGCTGAAGTAGTGTCGACCGCTGAAGAACAAGGCCAATGAATTGGAGAATGATATGGCTGGGCACCTAGAGGGCTATAGACTAAAGATGGCAACGGGGATGTACCCGTCGGGTATCGCCGGAACGTTCTCTTTCCCGCTACGGAGAATTCATCCCGTCCCCGTCCCCGTTAACTGTCTCGGGTATAGATTCTTGCCCATCCCCGTACCCGTCGGACATTGGTCGGGTAACAGATACCCGACGGGGTACTGCATACCCGATAAACAAGGACACTTGGGGTCGCAGCTTTGCAATCGGAGACGTTTCTTCTTCACCCGGGTATAAGTGTCGGAGTCTTGGAGATGCCGAGGAGAAAGAGCGAGGTTGCGAGGAGGACGAGCAAAGGTGGCAGAGAGACCGAACTGAGGAAGCGAGGGGCACGAGTGCTCGTGAGGCAGGCGTGGTTGTGCTGCTGGCGGAGATGGTGGGGAAAAATTGAACTAGGATTCCTACAACACACAAACTATATATATGATTGTTCAGATTTGGGCCAAAATACCTATGTTGAGCTTCTTTGGGCCTAATACTCGCATGGCAGCTCAAATAGTCGGGTTCCTCAACAGGTAACTGGGACGGGTAAATAGGGAATGTTCCCGTACTTGCTATACCCATCGGGGATGGATTCTTACCCATTTAGATACCCGCGGATAAAGATATGATCACATCCCCGTCCCCTAATAAATCAAATACCCGTCAGGTATCAGGTATCGGGGCCCGTTGCCATCTTTACTATAGACTAGAGTTTAGGGTCGCTTTAGCAACGTGACAGTGTAACCAACTGCCGAGCCCGGCAGCGTACATTCGATTCCACGCCGAAGAAGGATCCGCACACATCGGCAGAAAAAAGTGTCGCGGAACGGGGGCGTGCACCGGACGGGAGGAGGCCGCGGCCAGCAGTGGACGGGTATAGTACAGCGCGACGGCCTTTTCCGGCAGCAGCGTTGTACTTTGTTGCTTGCTTCAGAGGGCGGCTATGCTCTGCACTGATCGCCCAGAAAAAGGGTACGTGGAAGGCTGAAGCGGACGAAATGCCGCGCGTCAAAAAGCTGAATGGATGTGAAGCTGGAAAGAAAACGCAGACAGGCGACGGAGCTTTGGTTCCGATTCTGCTGCACGCGAATCATGAACACGTTTGGCTCATCTCTGCTGTTTGGTACTACCACGCTGAACCTCGACTCAATGGACGCCAAGCGGAAAAAGCATTCTGAAGGCTAGTATCAGTCAAAATTCTTCTCCAATAGGAGCACTGCCGAGTTTCTGGCAGCGTTTCTTGGACGTTCTGCCCCCAAAGTCGTCGTCTGTACAACATGTCACAGTACTGAATTACGCAGTCGATCTGGAGGAAACTTCTCCGCGATTCCCGTCAGATAATACAGTCCCTCGTCAAGTCGCCATGGCACTCCGTCGATTCGACGACCACGGTCCACGATCCACGCAGACGCAGGCGAGCTGTGCGCGGATGTAGTGTCCGTGGCCGGCCATGCCCCCACAGCCGCTGTGCTGTGTGCATTCGGTGGTTGTAGTGGAGGCCGCGGAGGAGGCGACGAATCTCCCAACAGAAAAAGGAAATTCGCGACGACGATCTCTCGCCCTCAGTCCAGAGGCGCCATGCTCTCTACAGTTCTACAGCCGCGGCTCTGGAGCTCGCGCTGTGCTCTCTGTAGTTCTGCACGACAGCACGAGGTTCACATCCACCGCTGTTCTAGCCACGGCACGAGCTCGCCGCGGCGCGCCGTGCCACGTCACGTGTGCACCCCGCACGTCCCGACACGGCCTGCGAGTTAACCCCACTAGGAACTTCACTGACACGCACGAACACTGTACTGTACCACTCACTCACAGTCCTCCTCCGCCCACCGCAGACGACGACGAAACATGACGAGAAAGCCACCGTGCCTCAGCTCGTTCTACCACTCAACAAAGCGTGTCACCCACTGACATTCTGGCCCTATTCTCTGCGGTCCCACCGGCAGCGACATGTCAACTAGCAGGCTAGAACAGCGCTGGTAGATGGGAAGGTGCCGATGACCGTAAGATTTCCGGTGGGTCCGCCGTGGCTCCACGTCTTCGGTTTCTTCTGGAGTACTCCATCCAGAATTGTATTTTTGTTTTAAACCCTAAAAAAATACACAAT